GACACTTACTCTTCGCGTGTCAGCAGAAAGTAGATTTCATGGTCCTTTCAATAATGCCATAAAAATGCTAGGTCACCGCTAGAAACTAAAAAGTTTTTCAATCGCTCCGTCAGACCATGTCCTCAGAAAAGGGGGGGGGGATCGGCAAAACGAGTTGGAATGTCGAAGCTGGGGGTCAAAGGTCAAAGGTCAAGAGGTGTAAAAGAAGGGGGAACATTCACTCCTTAACTTAAGGTATAGGGAGGAAATGCAGAATTGCGGCACAAATCTAAACGGCTCGACCTAGGCTCGTGATAGTTGGTGTATAGCATCATGGTAGGAAAAGCCATCACTGTGCCGAAATTGGAGGTCACAGGTCAAAGGTCAATGGGCACAGGGCAGATTTTAGACGATGTGCCGAATATCGTGACCGTACGTCGAGCGGTTAAGATTTGTGCCCAACTGTTGACGGACGGACGGACGGACGGACGGACGATCATGCGATTCTACAAGCTGCATCTGACTATGTCAGATGAGCTAAAAATAATATCTCTTTGTCTCCATGACTCATTAATGGATGACTATCGTACAAGCGTGCAATGCTGTCACATTGGCACTACATATTTTTTGCAAGAAATCAACATAATATATATAGTAAAAAATATCAAATGACCTCCCATGAAGATCATATTAGTATGTGAACCACAGCATACTGATACAATCCTTCGGCTGGTATATTGACCACAGTACGTACTTGCGTCCAGTCTCTTCGATGAAAACAGACACGGGACCCTTGTCCTGAGACATCTCCTGCACGTGAGCATGATATGTCTTCCCATCCATGTGCACCTGTAAATAATATACTAAGTAATTAAATTAAAGCTATAAAGCTCACCAAAACTAATCTTTAAATAATGATAATAAAATGGTAAACTATAATAACCCTAAAATCTCTTAATAATAATTATAATTCTCATAAAGAATTGACATAGCGAGTATACAGTATGAAGACGAACACATGTCTACTTGTATATACATGTTCATGGTATGAAGTAATTACCTTGTTATCTGCCAACTTTGCAGTACTAGTATTTGCCATTAAATAATGTCATAATAAGTAAGCACAATAACTTCCACAGCAATTAACTTCAAACAAGCTGCAAAAAAAAACAATTTCGTGCTTACCAAGACTTTGTCCCCAGGTAGATACTCACTCGTCATCATCTGCAACTCAAATTGTCTCTCCTGCTCTGTAAGGAAACATCCAAACACACTAAACACCTTAAAACTGAAAACATTTAAGTAACGTTATCGTGAATCGTGCGTTGTTATTTGATGTGACAGGTATTGTGCATCTTACCTCGAACAGATTCTAGCCAAACATCAAACTCTACATTCCTGTAGTGGTCCGGGTCAAGTGACTTTGCGACCTTGTAAGGGAGAGGAGGTCCATGCAGCATGGCTGCCTTTCGCATCTCAGCTTCCTGACAAAACATAGTAGGAATACTGTTAAAGTCAGGATTTGTGAGGAAACAATTAAAGAAGCTAGATATAGTTGAACGGCTACTGATTTAACACGTGCCGCCACAAAAGCCTATACGGCCACTGTCATAACTTCAAAGGGGAAACACTTTCCCCCGGGCGTAGATGGACGGTCACGTGATGTGGCTGCACTTGTGTTAGAATTAGGGTTAGGGTTAGGGTTAGGGTTTGGGTTTGGGTTTGGGTTAGGGAAAGAAGGCCATGTCTAGCACGGAAGTATGACTGTGGAATCTTTCTGTGGAAGATTTGGACTTTGAAGCATCTAGTATGATCTACGCCACCGACGCCATCTTGTCCATCTACGCCCGGAAGAAAGTGACACCCACTTCAAAGTATGACGACAGGCTGCCGGTTATATTTAGCATGTGCGCGCTGTAGCGTGAACGAGTATGAGCTATAAAAAGTTAAAAACCGTGCTACTGCTGTCCGTACATAGCCGTTGCCAGGTGTTCTCATAGGTATGGGCTGATCGCGAACGTGGTGGTGGGGGAAATTTGGCTGCGATTCGGCTGGTGGCGTACGCGGCGTCAAGAGACAGCGAGGAAGTGATAGAGAGAAAGTGAGATAAAGAGAGAGACAGCAAGGGAGAGAGATAACACGAGAGAAAGAGAGAGAGTGCGAAAGAGTGAGGGAAAGAGTGAGGGAGAGAGAGAGAGAGAGAGAGAGAGAGAGAGAGAGAGAGAGAGAGAGAGAGAGAGAGAGAGAGAGAGAGAGAGAGAGAGAGAGAGAGAGAGAGAGAGAGAGAGAGAGAGAGAGAGAGAGAGAGAGAGAAGAGATGAGAGAGAGAGAGAGAGAGAGAGAGAAGAGAGAGAAGAGAGAGAGAGAGAGAGAGAGAGAGAGAGAGAGAGAGAGCGATTTTGTTGTCTATGCCTACCAATGGCTACGTGCGCACGTTGACCTATGAGTATTTGGCAGATATAGCATATTATGTTCTGTTGTGATGTGGCGATACATAGCCATAGTAAAGTAAAATAAGAATATAGGGACAAGGGAAAATAGGGACGGGGGAACATAGAGTGAACCCCTCCCAGGCGCCCGTCACCCCTAGCAGTCATATCCGACTCGGAGCAGGCGAGTTGGACGTTTTTTTGCCAAGTGGCCAATCAGAGAACAGCAATCAGGGTCCCTTCACCCTAGAGCACGTTTTTGCTTTAGGCGCCACGCTGCCGGCATGTGATACGTGCAAAAATGCGTATCCACGTCGCCCCGCGCGTACGCTACGGGTCATATGTTGAAACGTTTGCCGCCTCGCGGTCGATAAAGTAAAAGCTTTGAACATACAGAGGTTGGTAGAAAGAAGAAAAACGCCAACTTGACTGCATCAAATCGTCAGTGTAAACCCAGCTTGCTCCGCACGCACGCGACATCACTTCGCGCTAGTCATGAAAAAAAGGGGGGGGGCGGGTCCCGCTCATCAATCGACACCGCCGCTCTCCACAACGCACGTACAACGTACGGGCTAGCAGCAACACCCGCTGTTGATTACACATCTCCCCCTTCGTCTGTTGTACCACCTACACTATATTCAGATTCTAAACCGTTCACTCGGTGTGCACGTATCAGGGCCGTGAGTCCTCCTACCGAAGTGCATGTCGGGATACTGAGCTCCTCATTTATCCACAATACACTGCAATGAGTCTAGAGTCTGAACGCATACACAGTCCTTTTAACTGTAGGTATACTGACCATTTCTGCAATAACTGTACCTTTCGTGCCATGGCACCCCGGTCCTTAACTTCAGTAGACGACTCAAGCTCACTGGAATCGGTGTTGCTGGGTGGCTCAGGTGATGGGCTGTAATGCGTTCAAGACAATATATAACTTTTACACATATATACACAACACTTGTACTATCACAATCGCATTCTCATTACAATGAAGTATTTTTCACAAATTAGATCCAGCTTAACAATCTATATGTATGTATTCAAGAGCTAATAATACCTAGAGTGTACAACGGAAAAACGGGAAAATAGTGCTATTTCACGACATGATTATTCTACTTTGCTATTTCTAGAATAATTTTATGGTATTGCATTAAGCAGAATTCTTTGCTCTCTAAAACAAGACCAACCGCTTGTTAATACGATACTTCTAGGCTGAGATATTGGCTCGTAAACTTCCCCTCCCACAGGCCTCACGGCGCTTCGAATCCACATCAGTCAGCATCCTACTCGCCCCTAAGCATTTTGGCTATTGGTTTTCGTCACCACTTGGAGCGCTGATAATTGATGTCACATGCCCAAATTTGGTACTCTTACTACACCATATAGTAACTGAGTTGCGTTGTAGAGACTTAATTTAGAAAACATTGCCGGCTCCATCATGACGGGCATTAGCCGTGCTAAGAAAGATAATGGGAGATAAGGGCATAGGCGATGCCCCGAAAGTCACCTATGATAACCGAAAACCCGTTCATTCATAAAGTTATCGCGGAAAAACCGAACTCTCCCGAAGCAACCTTAGCGACGAGAAGGATGCTGACTGATGTGGATTCGAGGCGCCGTGAATCCTGTGGGAGGGGAAGTTTACGAGCCAATATCTCAGCCTAGAAGTATCGTATTGACAAGAGGTTGGTCTTGTTTTAAAGAGCAAAGAATTCTGTTTAATGCAATACCATAAAATTATTCTAGACTCGCAGGCAGTATTATTCTAGGCTCGTAAAATAATCGTGTCGTGAAATAGCACTATTTTCCCGTTTTTCCGTTGTACACTCTAGGTATTATTAGCTCTCGATGTATTCTATGTACATGTATTCTATATACATAAAATATTGGTGTAGAAATTGTACGCATGGGCTTCATACAAAGCACCATGATACAAATGCTAAATTTATCTCAGTTGTCTAGCTGTTACAACACTTGTGGCCACAACTGGAGTCTGGAAATCGAAATTAGAAGAGCGGTCTATAAAGGAGGAACGTATAGCCACGTCGTAAATGTTACCTGTCTGTCCTGTCACATGTGCTGTCCACGCTGGCTGTGCTCTCCCGCCTGCACCGTGCACTCGTGCCCTTGTTTCGCACCATGTCCACGGCAATGCCAACTTCTGGCCCGAGCTCAAACACACCTTTGTACAGAATTTCGTACACTATTGCTGCAAAGGTAAGATAGCCAAAACCTTTGTTAACTAACTAATCAGTTGACATCAATCCTTAATTTTTCTTTATGAATTTACCTACAAACTAAAATACAGAGTAGACATAAGGGAGATACTTGCTCTCTAATGGTAAATATATACAACAAATTTTCTCTGGCTACATAAGTAGAATGAAAACATTTCATACAACAAGCTTTTCACTATAGAATATCTAACATATTGTAATACCTCTGTACTAGCTATCACTACTTATATTATGTAGATAAATGCAATTACTGCATGTCAAAGCAACTAGAATTGCTCTGTAAATAATTGAATTCATAAATTTACCTGAAGAATTTTAGAGCAATGTGTAAACTACACTCAAGTTGCATGACACAAGAGGTTAACAGGAAACATAAGAGATTCTGTCTAAGAGCACAGCCAACTACACGCAAGATTATATGTTGGGGTGTCAGGCACACACTGGTCAACAGGTCAAAACAGCTTTAGCTTGGGAATTCAGTTATTACCAATCTGGCTTCACACCAGGTGGCATGCTAACCAGCTGACCTTCAACTCAGTCAGCATATTTCTCGCCTTATACCTTGGTTTTCAAGGCAAGAACTTGCATAAATTGACAGTACCTGAAACCTGTTATGCACTTGGCTAGACCTTGTATGTCTGCAAGTAATTTACAAGATCCCCTTGACTACTCCTTTATAACCTATCCCCTAGCAATATATGAGTAAAGAACGAACTACCTTGACAAAATGCAGCACTTTCAATATTGGATTTTGGGCACACACTATCATAATGATTTCCACTGTGGCAGAGAAAAATCTGTAACACATCAACAAGGATCAACATGTATTATATGACTAGAGGTTAATCACTCAAAATCCCATTAAGAAATATGTAGATATATGACCCACACAAGTTCCTCAAAGATATGTGGTACCATATATGCATATATACATTCACCTTAAATATTGGTGAAAATGTGTCACCTGTAAAATTAAAAACGTCCACACCTTATTTTCAAATCCATTTCCTGTGGCATTGATAGGTGGTTGGCCAATTTCCTTGTATACTAGGAAATCTCGTCTGTAATGAAAGGCAAACTGAAAAATGGCTTCGTGTGGCCGGGTCAGTCATGCAGTATATAAGCTATACCTAGAAGCTGTTTAACAAGACTACAGTAAGTTACTGATAGTTTTGTATATTACACTGGTTTTACATACTTGTACAAGCACGAAAGTGCTTTTAGCTCCACTTGCCCGGCCCAGGTCTATAACGAAAAGTAACTAGGTATAAAATCGCAACACATGCAGACACAGCTAGCCTACCATCCAAAGTATATAAGTGGATTAAAGAGCTAAAAGGGCTTGCAACTGCACATACTGAGGTGAAACCATTAATGGTACTTTGTGTAAACTTTTATTAAATGTTTCTTTTATGCGTAAACAGAGTTGTAACATGACCTGAATACAATTTCGCATATAATGTACAATACGAGTGAAAAAATTTCATGTGTTTACCTTTGGGTTCTTCAGTGCTGTTATATGCCACTCAAATGGGCCCTCGATGAACTGAAGTTGATATTGGTGTCAGTTTGTTAGATAAAAAAATACAAGGGGAGTAGAATGTCGAACAATTTTTATCAAGACCTCCCTACTAAACACCTTCATTGAGTGTATTGAAAGGCTGCATGGCTCTGTTCTATATCATGTTCTAACTTCCATGGCATGTTCTATATCACGGTATCAGTATTGGGCCCTGTATTTCCGCTATAGAAAGTCTGCACACATACGCACCGCAACTCATAAACTTGTTGAACTCATACGTCCGATTTACAAACACGTCGTTAATTAGCGAATACAAGCGGCATACGATAAGACATGTACTTACAGGTTCGAATTTCTCTCGGTGTCTCTCCATATAAGAGATGCAGGCAAGTCTAACACTAGCATGGCACGTCTGTGTATCAAACAACTGCAATGACACATGCAGGATATGTTACGTTTTGTATAGAAAATTTCCTGTGTTCCGTTAAACGCTGATTATTATTACAGTTGAACAGTTGATTTTTACAGGCTTTCGGTTGCTGAAATGGCCACGTGCAACGGAATGGTGTAGATTTCTTTTTGCTGCTCATAGTCTGCACGAAATACTCATTTTGCTTTTTTCTAATGACCACAAATTATCTACGCACCTGTTCGGAAACAGCTCGAAAGAGACAGGAACCATCTTTGGCTGTCGTTTTGCGAAATAATTGCAGAGACGATAAATAATCGTCCATTGCATTTCTGCTCCCCATGACTATACCCTGGTGTACGTTCGTCTGGCATCCACCACGTGCATGCGAGTGGTGCGTCGGCAACTTGTGTGCACTCAAAGCAACGGTCATTGGCGGAAAGTTTGTCGGGCGTAATCAAAGCATTGTTGGGGCGGGTCGGCGGCTGTGCGCGCGAGCTCGCCATCGTTTCGAAAAGATTACAAATTATATTGTTCAACAATGTGTGCTCGTAAATATATACTTTGTTTCAATTTTTCAAAACTGTAAGTCAATACTGAATACATGTAGAGATGAGTATATCAAAAATTGTAAAAGTAGAACTTTAGAAGTGCTATGAAATTTTACAGCTGCTGTGTATCACTGAAAACAGAGTTGTTCATCTATAATAAGAAATAAGACCTGTTATAGCTACAACTTCCATGGAATTTATTGATTTACTCGTGTGCAATTCCTTACATTCATAGTTGTCACCTAATTCTATAACTCCATTTGATTTGGTTTACAAGGACTTTCATTTTTATAGCTGCTTTCAGACTAGTTATACTACAATCCAGTCAACTTAGAATCGTAATATTAGTGATTGTTAATTAGAAGATTCTGTGATTAAAAATGTGCCCATAACAACAGTAACAGTTTTTGAAGAACTTTGTTCAATAATCATACACTAACACAGTAAGTCATAACACCAACGTGCAGCTACATTAACACAGATTAAGAGATCAACAGCATCTTTCTTAAATGGCATGTGTATCTCCTTGCATAAAGATTCTTAAAACTGGGATTTTCATATGTACCGGGTTTTCTTGATCACCAGATCTATGCATCCTGCCACTGAAATCTGCTAGTGAACTGAAACGACTATGGAATACGCTGTCGCCTTTAACCGCTGCCCACTTCTTAACATACCTAACCACACACCTACTAATGTTTCTATCTTCTTGAAACGATGCACATGGAAACGTTATACACACAAGATGTCTACAAGTATTTCAGTTGAGCATTTTGTAATACCATCTTCAAGAATAGATAGCCAATGAAAGAATGCAATGGTGGTATGTATTCCTAACATCAAGTCACGCCTAACAGATGACAAACGATACAATACACGTCGATAGGGTGACCCTAAGTGGAACAATCATCACTACGTGGAACGCTTTCACTACGTGTTACTAGAAATGCTAACGCAGCTGCTGGTGTGAAGAGCACCTACAGGGGGCGCCTTGTTAGGGTGCATGCGTTTACATGGTCTTGAGGCGGGCCTCCTGCTTTTCCATCTCTTGCCTGACCTCTTCTGGGAGATCAGTGCCCAGCTGGGCCTGGAAGAAGTTGTGTGTCTCCACCATGTCTTCCAGCCAGTAGTCTTTGGGGATCTCAAACATCGCCTTCCAGTCAAGCTGTGGTAGTCCTTCCAGGTTGATCGTGCCTGCAAAGTCGGGTGTCATTAACGTAAAACTACTTACGCAAACAGGCTTTCGTGAAACTGTAGCAAATGTACAGATTTTCCTTTAAACCACAAACATACACCAGCTAACTACCATAGTAGAGAGCACCAATATCGTTTTCTTTCATCATTAATCATGCACACGAGGAATGTTAAACGAGGGTTGTACGAATACTTCAGATTTCTGAACACAAGAAGAAACAACGTCTGGTCTATCACACGCCCATCGGGTGCAATTTGAACAAGTTCTGCCTGCACCTTCTCTTACAACATTCACTTCCCACTTCCTCCCATCTCTACGCACCTTCCTTCGGCACGATTCCAATGGGAGTCTTAATACCGATGTCCTCCTCTCCTCTGCAGCGACGGAGAATCCAATCAATGACACGGATGTTGTCTCCGAATCCAGGCCACAAGAACTTGCCGTTGTCGTCAGTACGGAACCAGTTCACGTGGAAGATTTTTGGCAGCTGTGTGAAGACAAATGCAGATAGAGCCAAATCCTAAGCACTTATTCACTAGGAGCCGCTCTCTATACAGATGCCACAATCCAGTGCGAGATGAAAAATCCACATAATTAATTTAATTAATAACGTATGTGCAGTGTTGTGCACTGCAGTGCCAAACTTGATTCTAAATAATTACACTAGAAGGTTCTACCGAACCTCAGCAAAGAGAAAGAATAGACTAGTGAGTATGAGCATTGTGTACCTTGTTCTTCGGGTTCTTGCCAAATTGAAGCCAGTGCTTGAGGTAATCTCCCCAGTTGTAGCCCATGAATGGTCTCATGGCCATTGGATCGTGCATAATGTTCTTGCCTGCACAAAACATCAACATTATAAACACGACCGAAATGAAAATCACTCATTTTCAGATATACAGTCAAGACATGACTTTAATAATAGTGTAACTAGCTTTGGGCCTAGCATTTAAACACACACCTCGAGTATAACAACAGCCAGCTTACAAGAACTTACAGCTTTCTAAGAGAAATGCATGTTCCCTGCTCAGGGCTATGACCACGAAATGGTAGTTACTACACTAATAAGTATGGCCCTTTTGACCACTAGCGCAGGTACTGATACACACCCTTGAATTCGGCAGCGGCCGTTGTCTCAGACTTCACGCAGGCACCGACGAACACACCGTGGTTCCAGTCGAAGGTTTCGAACACAAGCGGCACACCTGCGACAGGACAACGACGACTCCAATGCAGCCAAAAAACACGTATTGCAGGTGATTTGAAATTGGCCTAGCAATCCCCCTTACCCGCCCCCTTGTTTTACTTTTCGATCATATTCTATATATACAGAGATGAGAACGGCCCAGGACGAAATTCGCGTGATATATTTCTACTTACTGGTAGAATAGCGCCAATCGCTATATTGTGAGCACCGCAACTAATCCAAATTGGTAAAACTACGCATTAAACACACTGAAATCCACTGTCAAAGATCGATCGTTACCATGGTTTCTCTCAATTAGTTCTGACTTGCAGCAGTGCGTGAATAAATAGTACATTTGTGGGCCGCGGGATGGCGAGTTCAGACGGTAAAAGAGCATCACTAGCCACGGGACATTTTCCCACTGTCTGCCAAACCATATTGCTAAATTTACCCTTCGGTCTGCGGCCACCGAAGATGATAGCGGAGATTGGTACACCGTTGGGGTCCTCCCACAGTGGGTGGATCATGGGGCACTGGCCAGCTGGGGTGCAGAAGCGAGAGTTGGGGTGGGCAGCGTTGGACTTCATTCCCATCTTCCAGGGCTTGCCCAGCCAGTCGGTCATCTGAACGTCCTGGAATTCACACGAGCACGACGGGTGACACTCGCTCACAACAGGATCAGAATGCCATACAAATACAACATCCACTGTCTGTAGCTACTTGCTACTTTTTAGCTCAATTGCACCAGATAATAAGCCACTTAATCTACCTTAGGTATGTAAAGCCCGCCGCACACGGTGAACTATCTGCTGAGCCAACGGCCTCAAGTGATAGCTCATCAGATAGCTCAGCGTGTGCGCGCAGATTCTGCACAATTTTTGGCCTTGCGTGGCTGTGAGACCGATATCTATCGTGTTTGATATTTGTGGCCACGCGAGGCCAGAAACTCAGCGTGTGCAGGCTCCGTGATTTTCCAAATACTCGTGCGCGGGCGCATTATAAAAAATATATAGGCACTATAAAAAATATTAGGTTTATTTTTAATTCCCTTAAAAGAACTTGTAATACGATCAAATTCAGGCATCAATTGATGCAAGAAGAGCAACACGGCACGCGCGTTTTGTATAGACAATTCTCAATACGACACAATTACACAGACACGCGATTACCATTGTGTCAACACGCCAGCCACACGTACAATGCTTATAGCGCCGCACCAGTTTATACCAGCCATACCAGCCAGCGCGGGAGTCGTTGCCTCGCTCCACTAGTACATGGTTCATACAGGACTGAAACATTTTCCAAGGACTTTGCAAGGAAATTTTATTGGAAATTCAAGGACATTTTATCGGAAATTCAAGGGCATTTTATCGGAATTCATACAACATACCTGGATTAATTTAATAATAACCCCATTCTTAATCACTGTCACCTCTAAAACTTACCTAGATCACATTAATAAACCCTTCTAAACACTGTCACTTCTACAACATACCTTGATTTACTGACTGATTTTAATGACTTACTGTCATTTATGATCATCATTTAACTGTCTATTGTGTCTATAGATTTTTAAGCTCATTTAACAATTTTTATTGAGGTTTGCACATTATTGATGGTACAAAATTTCTTTTTATTACAGGCAAGGATTCTTTCTAAAAATTCAAAGACATTTTCATGAAATTCAAGTACTTTTCAAGGACTCCCCTCAAATTCAAGGACTTTTCAAGGACTGTGCGAACCATGTAGTAGACAATTGGTTCCAGAAGCCATGCGCCCGCGCCCGAGTACCGCCACGCTGCCTGTTAATGCAGCAAGCGATGGTAAATAGCCCGAGCTATCATGATCAGCACCTGTTATCATTCTGCTGCATCAAAAGCTCGCTGCTGGTCTGCGGGCGCCACGCTGGCTAGCAAATGTTCGAAGTTTCTACGTAATAATCACGGACTCGCCGATATCAGGCAGAGGTAATTGGCAGTCCGTATACATTTCTAGGAGTTCATCGTTATTTCGTAGGAGTCCGTATATTTTGCTACAGACAGTCATTAGCTGGGTAATTTTCCGTAGCTGTCCGTGCGTTTTGGAACATTTCTGTGTTTAGTCCGTATTTTCTCCGACTTTCTAGTTCATAGTGTAAGTGCCTAGGGGTAATAAAGTAGATCTATACCCTATAGAACCCGTAGATTCACTATTACGGTATTTATTCGTGTACAAGTCGCACTTTTTCTGTACACAACTTCAATAAAAAAAATCAGGGGTGCGACTTGTACACGAGGCTAATAAATCTTGTGCAAGAAATGCCATTGTTATCGCAACCAGTCGCTATTGTAATGCCGAACCACGCGAGCGCATATTGCATATGGGCACAGCCATCTTTAATACATTACCGTACTTTTCAATGTATGAAAACTAAGCCCGGTCAACTAGCGGTACTTCTGGTCATTTGAGCTTGCCGACTGGTTTCATAATTATTATTAATAATATTAATTGATCAGTCAGGGATAACTGCTATTTACTCAGAGGACAATGACTTGTAATCAAGTGTGAAATCACTGTGTATCAAGTTTGCCAACTGCTATGATATGGTTCAGTATTGAACTGCTCGTTTACTTCAGTGGAGCCAATTAACATAACTGTGAATATACACTGGTGTACAAATGACAAATTAATTGTCCAATTCCACTAATAATAGTAGACATGTAACCTAATTTAAAAAGCTCCCTCGCCCTTGTAGTCCATCTCTATGCAAATTTCGATTATAAAAGTTGTGTACCAACTTTTCAAGGCAAAATATGGGGTGCGACTTGTACACGAGGAAATACGGTATCTAGATACACTATAGGTAGCGTAGTATTTTGCATATGCTCAACGTTGAAACAACTACCGTCCGCGGGCCGACAGCGGCGGGCGTACCTTCGGTTCTTCGAACTCGTCCTCGAGTCCCTCCCAGTAGACACGGCCGTCGACACTGTCGGCAGTGTTCGTGAAGATGGTGTTTGTCTTGCACGTCAGCATGGCCATGGGGTTGGTCTTCATGCTCGTGCCCGGCGCGACACCGAAGAAGCCGGACTCGGGGTTGATGCCGTACAGCTTGCCGTCATCAAGGAAACGCAGCCAGCCGATGTCGTCACCTGCGACGACGCGGCGACGCACCATTTGTAGACGGTAGGATCTTATTTAGGTGTGTGAATGTGTGTTTGTATGGGGAGAGGTGGGACGATACAGGTAGCTCGTGATATGATCAGTATCGCGATACGATAAATAAATTGCGATACTTTCACGGGAATTGGAAAACGACCTAGCAAAACTATACACTTAACCAGGACTCTCATGTGAACACTTACAGGTCAGTATCGTCGAGCGAGCGAACAAGTAGTGTTGTGACACAACGAAGAGTTGTGTCGCCACCGCGAGCTTATTGCCATGTGTCGACTAGTTATGGTGTATCGTGCGCCCATCATACGCACGGCACATGAATGTAGTTTTTTAGCGTCATACGGGCAGAATAATTATTTCCCTACTCACCCACGCATCGTACGGTCCATCCTGGAAGGTTGGGGCGCAGCATGGCAAGGTTGGTCTTGCCGCAGGCAGATGGGAATGCTCCCGTGATGTACATCTCCTTTCCCTTGGGGTCGGTGACGCCAGAGATCTGTTACAGCAAAGCCAGGTTTCGAAATTAGCAAGTAGCAGGTTTTCTGCCTACATGCGTCAGTTTTATGCCTGCTATCAACGTCGGTAGCAACTACTTGTTGCCAAGAAATCCCAAATATATCATATTAAAAGCACCAAAGATTCTGCCAGGTGAGTAAATTTACTGCCTGGTAAAGAAGGTAATTTCCAACCCTGAGATGTGTTACAGCAAAGCCAGGTATTGAAATTTAGGGCAGCAAGCAGCAGTTTTTCTGCCTGGACCAATTGCAAAATGCTATCAGGAAATTCTTAATAAACCATGGTAAAATCAGCAAAAGGTTCTGCCTGCCCTTTTCAGTGGCAGCAAGTATTTACTGTGCAGTAAAGAAACAAGTTTTTGAGTACATCCACAAAGCATGAGCAAAAACCCCATAAAGTACCAAAGTAATTAATTACACAGCATTATTTTATCTTATGTGGTATGAATCTGCATAGGCAACCTGCCATGTATGACACTGGGTCAGCAGAAGGGTATCAAAAAACTAGAATAAGGTTAGGAACAAGGTACGGATGAATAGCGAGTCACAGCAACAAGAATAGAGCTACAAGCATGGACGGCCACATACCAGCATGTGCTCGGCCATCCAGCCCTCGTCCTTGGCGATTCTGCTGGCAATACGCAGAGCGAAGCACTTCTTGCCCAGCAGCGAGTTGCCACCATAACCGCTGCCGTATGAGACGATCTTCCACGTGTCGGGGAAGTGAGCAATCATGGTATTCTCGGGGTTGCATGGCCAGTGGTTGACAACAGGCCCTGCAAATGTAAAACGTTATGTAGCCCGCCTCCTAGCTTCTCACTTCCTCACACACCTCATCCAAATATGGGGATCACTTGAACACTAACAAATAATGGCAGGAATTGACAATATTTTATTATTTAAATATTTTATTATAACTTGAAATACTTAATACATAATCAATAAATCGCAATTAATTTTAGTTTTGTTACTTTCCTTTATGTTCAGTGTTATTTACATTAGTTTAAAGGGATAGTAGACTCTAGGATTTTACTGCATACAACTGTACTTACTGTATAACATATTTGTTACTAGATACCTAATTTAAATGTTATAATCAATTACACATCAACACTACGAAATTTGAACGGCGCAATGACACCCGCGACCGTGCTGCCACCCTGAAAAGGTTGCGTATTTGCCAATTTATTTTGCACGTTACAGACCGAGGGCTAATCACAAAGGTGCAATTATATTCATACCTAAATGCTATTTAACCAAACGATGTTCATTTTAGGACAAATTTATCCATAATATAACTGAAACTATATGTCGTTTATAAGATATTACAATCCTTTTGCTTTTAAATTAATAAATAAGAAACACCCCCGTCTGTAGCCCTTGGCTGAAAAGTGGTTTTGCGCAACTTATCAGATCGTGCGCTTTGAGTGGCGCCACCGTCGTTGTAATCAAACTGCAGTCGTTAGTTTTAAAACATTTTTGAATAATATTTATAATGGTGATTGAACCATGAAACTTTTTATGTAGCGTAATTTTAACCTAAATTAACTGAAAATAACCCTGGAACCTAGAGTAAACGATCCCTTTAAGAGCTGTTTTACCTGCACGGATCCTGCAGGTTAACAGGAGCCATGCCTACCCACAAACGTCCACGTGTACATCAAATGGCGACCTTCTCACCTGTCTGCACACTAACAATTCTCCGCCAGTAAAGGCGCGTAGAAAAAGGGAGATAACGTACGTGTGACTGGGCGAGGCACGCCGACGGAGTGGAGACACTTCACGAAGTAGTCGTCACCGAGGGCGTCCCAGATCTTGGGGGACACGCGCGTCATGATGCGCATGCACAGCACGACGTAGTTGGAATCGGTAAGCTGCACACCGATCTTGGAGAACTTGGATCCGACGGGACCCATGCTGAAGGGAATGATGTACATGCAGCGTCCTGGAAATGGGAAAGAAAGAATCCGTACAGTTTTGCACAGTAGGAAAGTAGCAATGGGAAAAAACTTGATATAAACGACCGGTTTCGGGCGATTGACACATATCCTTGGTATTGAAAACATTAACAGCGAATCACTTAAAATTTACCAGATTCTTTGCTCATTTAATATCCACTGCTTCATGCTCCTCTCAGCAGTGTTTTTTTTTAAAGAATAAATAAAGAAGTCATTAGGATCTAAATCAGTTTTTGCATCTTAGCATCCACTTTCCTGCTATTTCTCAACACGTTTCCCACTCTTCCTAACTAACCCATCAAGTGAGAGACTCTGCTGATTCCAAAACTCATCTGTACCCATTTTGATTTGATAACTGAAATATATACACCCCACTTGGGAAGATAACCTAACAATCTGCATTCAAATCAGTGTTCGAAATTCACGTCGGCCCGTCGGCCTGCCGCCGACAGTTTCGATGCCGGGCCTACAGCTTCTTGATAAAACAGGCCCGCTGATCCTGCAGCGATTTGATCCCTGAAAATTCGAAACACTGAGAAACTGTTACCTGTAGAAATCCTTGCTTGCATATTAACTTCCAGGGGTATTTATTTGAAAACTAATCCGTGATAAACCGTGACATACACATAAACAATGCGTTCGCCCACTGCATATTCGCGCAGCCTGATTGTAAATGAAAGAGCGATAGCCTGGAACCCTGTTCCAAGCTGCACACCACAGTGTAGTAAACTAAAGGGCAAGTTGCCAGTCGAGTGCGGAATTAGCTGCGACTCCCCGGCAGCGTTCAAAATTAGTGCCGACACGGAGGCCCGAGGCCACAAAGTTTTTGCTTCGGCCACCACTTCTACGAAACTGCCCGTCCTCCTGACCCGCACTTTTCCCCCTCATATTACGCTGAAATACTACGGTTATCGCAACGGCAGTTTAGACAGACTTGTAAATGGGAGCGCATTCTAATACGCTTCGTTCCCGAACGTAGACGGGTATCCAAAACATCCTCCAATCATGATTCGCCACACGAACAAAACCTCGTGACAGTCTAAGAAATCGATTGCAGCATGTAGCGTAGCCCAGTGTTTTTATGACCGCATAACAATAAGTTCATATGTCGCAGGGGTTATCGTGGGGAGTGAGGGCACAACCAGTGACACCTGACACGCACGTAATCAAAGCTGTTAATTGAATTCGTCACATTCAACCATTTTGTTACTCACTGCTAGTAAATAAGCAGACCACCAACTTTTGTGCAGGACCACAGACTTTCTGAAGTTGGTGGTCCTGCTGTCCACTACAGGGTTCTCCAAGAGCACTTATAGCCTGGCGGCCCGCCAGGCTATCGTCGAGCCCCGCCATCCTAAAATGCACCCGCCACTCTAAATATCATAGCCGCCATGCTAAATATCATAGCCCCCGGACCCCCCTAGCACACAAACCGCCTTCGGCGATTTACAACTAGGACCGTAAAGGACATCAGCACCCGCCATGCTATAATGAAAAAGCTTGGAAAACCCTGCATTAGCTTTTCAGCCAAAATTCGAACCCTGGCTGCGAGTAACATGAAATCGTTTCTCATTGGTGAGTGACCGTTGGTCTGGCCTGAGCAAGTGTCTCAGATTTCGACCATTCGACATGACTGTATGATCGACACATGGTTAGACTGGTGTACGTATGACGGCTCCACTCGCAATGTTATGAGACGCTACTACGTTGCTACCGATGTGTACCAGACTACCAGTCTGGCTCTCTGCTGGGGAGTTGTAGTTACCAAGGAGCTACATATAACAACGATGTGGCGTTTCCTTAATTGTGAGCCCCCGGCAAAGAAGTATAAACTGTCATCCGACGAGAGGAAGGAAAAACAGAGGGATTATGATTATGGACATTGATAATGACTATTAAACACAAGGAAGAACATGATATGCTGTTTTATTACTGTAATTTGCTCCAAAATTGGCAGGCCTGCAATTTTAGGAGCTATAGGCCCTGCAGGCCTACAGCTTTTTCTGCTCAGTGGCAAACACTGATTCAAATAGTGAAATTTAAGCTCCATTTAGCCCCTGCTCGGCCTACCCTCATCATTACCCTTTTTTAGGTGTACCTACCCTTCATGCAGCCAGGGAAGCGCTTCTTGATCTCCACTTCCATGTTGGCGGGGCTCATCCACTGCCCGATGTTCGTGTGTGGGCCCTCGGACAGGTGCGGAACCGTGTCGTGCTCCTTCTCCGTGCAGACGAAGGTCTTGCTCTCGACGCGAGCGACGTCAGCAGGATCAGTGCGCACGATGAAGCTGTCACATACAAAGGACACACGCACACGCGTTACGTCGTTGATTCACCACGTAGTCATATTTTACTATGTTCATAGTATTAGTTTACTTTAAAATTTTTATATTATTCTGGGATCAAGTAATATTTTTATTATTTTCATAGCATTACTTTATGATTTTTATATTATTCCTGGGATCAAGTAATATTTTTTAGTATTTTCACAGCATTACTTTACAATTTTTATATTATTCTGTGATTAAGTCATTTAATCATTTTCTTGGCATTACATTACATTTTACAAAGCTGAGGACTCACACGCATTGCATCGTTGATTCGCCACAGTCATATCTTGCAATTTTCATAGCATTACTTTACCTTTTTTATATTTTTCCGAGATAAAGTAATATTTTACCAACACTAATATTAAAAGTCACCGTCATTAACTCCGCAATCAGATTTCGGTGTCGTCCTAAAAAATTATTTTAGCTGCTAGAGGCAGTACGACAACAGCACACACACTGCAGCCCCAGACACCCTCTGCCTTCGCGGGCGAGCCTGTGATGGATGAGCGCTTACCAGTTGTCCATGGCGTGCAGCCTCTTGAGGCTACCACGCTCCATCAGCTTGCCGATGATCTCATCTGCCTCATTCTGCGAGCCATCGCAGATGTACAGGCAACGCGGCTCGCAGAGATCCACCTGTCAGAAAACGGAATACCGGCCGTGAAACAAGACACGCCTAACGAGGGGAATGATCTGATAACGCATCGTTAGAAATGCTGCAAGTGCGTGTACACGGGGCGTGCAATTGGCAGGGTGTTTTTTTGATACACTGCATGTCTAAACAAGTGTAAAGGTTGCTTGGGGGAAGTTCAAACAAACAAGATTTACCTGTTACAGTTTACATTAGCAAAAAAACAGCAATTATAAAGCAGTGGCAGTGCTCACCTGGCTCTGATATGCAAAGCAGTTTATTCACCCACATTGCACCATGGTACTACATTACAACATGTATGACAAGATGTGTTATGTAGCGATACAGAAGTAATGTCCTCATTATCCCGTCCACGCTACAATGTCTCCAGCTGCTTCTGTTATCAATTTCTCAGCAACTAATTAGCCATTAAGTCGGTCAACCTAGCTGCCCATGACAGACTGCTTCTGGGCATGACAAATAATGAGAATGAACGTCGATACTGGTAACGTTCACACCAGTTTTCGTCGTATGCTAAAATTATCAAGCTACTATTGTTAGATCGATGCCGGGAGCTTCTCCCTAAAAGCAACTAAGTTGTAACAGATAAGCTTTTTGTTCATGAAAAAGTTTGCCATCAACAGGATTTTTGAGTGAGTGAGAGAAACTAGATAGGTTGCTAAGTATTTTGCAAGGGTTTTATTTAGACTTCCTGCTCCACTCGCTGCTATTTTCATTCGGAACCCCAGCATTACGCTCATGTCTTTCATCAACAAAATGCCTCCTGATGTTGCCTTCTAGGAAGTAGAGATCTAGTTCCACTCAACTGATCAGCAACATTTCCATCACCTATACATGCGCAGATGGTGCACAGCTGAAGATCTGAATACATCAATCGTTACCCACCCCACAAAAGAATTTGTTGTCAATAGACTAAATTTGTCACCTATAATAATAATGACCCCTCTACCTTCAGGCCTGGCCCACGTTAATAAAATCTAAATGGCGGATGAATGTCATTATACACAGATGCACTCATACCCCCCACCCCTTCATTTCACAAAACTATTGAGGAACACCACCAAAGGTCTGAGACAAGAGAACCTGTGGCAGCCGATTATATCTAGATACAAAACTGACTCGCGACTCACTATGTTCCACAGTTACATAGCAACTAAACCATTTCCTGGTCACGCCTCAGCTCCAAGTCTGCATTCTGCCAAATTACACCTCAGCTGATATGATTCTCTACATATGATATTAAACAACTCAGACGGCACGCCTGAACAGATGTGTACCATCTGCGCAAAACTGGTTTTCAATGAGAACCTGCTTTGTCTGGCTCGTGTTAGGTCACTTCTTAGCTGCTACCCCCTTCCCTCTCCACACCTCACCGCAACCTGATCGATTTCGCAATGCTGCAACGGTGAATGGCTGGCTGTTAAAAAAGTACAACATGGCTACGGTGGCATGCACACGCAAGCAAGCCGGCCGGCGGCCAACGCCACGTAGTCAGTCTACCCCTCGATATAACAGTTGCATCCGCATACGACTGCAATTGAATCTGGCTGATATATATACACAATCTGCGCTCAGCTGCGTGGCAAGCCTTGCCAGTACACAGATGATCCTGACGCAAGCCACTTCATCTGGCCTGTGGGTGGCAAGCAGGCGCAGCCATTACTACAGCATTACGACAGTACTACACAGATCAATACGAGCTCCTTACATAATTCCAGCTCTTTTTCCCCCACCAAACAACATCCCCGGGATGCCCCGGTGCTACACCTTCACCTTGCTACATCTTCCCTCGTGCAGTCATCGGCCTTGAATCAGTTACCCACTATATTAGGAACCATGGTCTCACAGCTTTGAGCAGGGATAGAATTGCTACTTCTGTCACACACTGTACGAATATATAGAATCCACTTGGAAGCAGATCGCGCTCGGCTGCTTCTATATTTCGCTCGCCATTAACAAAGCTGGTTCAGACATGCAGGATTAATAAAGTTATTCTTGACAGCTAGTCGTAAACAGCTCCCATGTCACAGAGTGCCACGTAGGCAAGCTTCCCACACTGTACGTACGTCAGTTAGCTGCAGCCTGCACCACTACTGCACAGCCTTGTTGTTTGCATGTGGCAAATATTGATTTCAATCATGGCGGCCAAACGAAATTTTCTACATAGATTTTTCTACGAGTTTCCCTACTTTTTTCCAGCCTTATTTTCCCAAAATTAAAAGTAGTCATGTAATGAGAAGTATTGATAACTGACAGTGGCAAATTTAATAAGAGTATGTTGCTGCAATGTGTCTTGTGTGTATGTTTTACACACAACATCCAATTATATAACGTCTGAACTCTGAAGCCTTTACTAGATAGCTCATGATCATTACCAATAGAACGAACTCTCACATACATCACCACGTACATTTATTATCTGCATTTTGCCCTTCATTGCCTACTGCTCATCACACACGTTACTAGTGACTGCATTTAAAAAGCAAAACGTAGTAAAGCAATCAATCCGTTGGCTGAAAATATATCCGTGGTGCTACACACACGCATTAAAAACTGCGACTATTGCACGGATTTATTTCTACTGGCACATGGTAATGCATCCGGGGCAGCAGCTGATTGTAAAGCCTTTTTTCTGAGCTCATTTTCAGGCTAATGTTTGGCAGTGTTTTAATATAGCATGCGACCTTTAGAATTTAAGTGGACAAGATGGCCCCCACGCACCCACGCCATATCCACGGCATGGGTAGCACGGCACCCACGCCATATTCACTGCTGGCAATCTTTGACATTCACGCTGAGCCACGCCTGAAGTTTCAATGACTATCTCCCTCGCTCGCTGCAGATGTACCAACTATTTACCACATGCCTTTTGGTAACAGGCTAAAAATAAGCAGTAACGTTTGGGATGAAGGCCACCAGCTTTCCCATCCAAGAGGAATACAAATGCCTGTAATTATACTATTTGATATGTGAAATGACATGTCAGTGTATTCATCGGTTATTTTTTATTTACCCTATACGTACATAAAAAACTAGAGGGCCGGCTACTCAAACATTACCTTAAATATATATCTTCTTCACCTTATATATATGAATAATGTATGAAGCTAACTAGTGCGAATTGATTCCAGTATGATAACGGATATTTCTCTCTAGCCCAGTAAAATTTCTGGCCCTTACATAACAAATGAAGATCGGAATTATAAATTATACTATTGGAATGAAACTCTTTGCAGTACTCAGCAACATGACAAGTGTAGTGCAGGCAGTTAGACACTCTAAACCTGCAATACATGCACTCTCATAGCTAGTGACAGCACTTTCATAGGTATGATGATACCTTCTGCAGATCAGTGCACCGCAAGAGTGCCAGTGGCCGCTTGTATATTATGACCTTGACAGACCAAATCCAAAGGCATACAGCAAAACTCGTTTAAGAGCCAAGCTACAATTTAACTGGTAGCTTTTCAGGCAATGCCGAACATCGAATTTGCGCTCGATACAGAATATCTGTAACATCATAACAATTTTAACATGCATGCACATTTATACCATCGACAGATAGGTCTCATTAAATACACTACAACAAGCCACACCTATATGATCAGGGCACATGCCCTTGGGTATGAATTGAAATAACTAGTTCAGCTGGTATAGACTTCCTCGCAGACCTTTAAACAGGATACGGGGCACAACGCAATGCACGTATGCCACGTGAGTGAGAAACGGAAAACAAGTAATATAGCAGCAGTTGTGGTGGAATTCCGGAGTGTTGAAGGATAGGCAATGTCTGTACCATGAACCCTTTATCATGCACATGTTTGATTTCTAATATGTACACAAAAAAATTGTTCGGCTTAGCTGCGCATAGGTTAAAGGACACAGTTCTTGTATACAACAGGGCTACCAAATAGCTTGAACAAATGCTTACCAACTTGAAAACTTGAAAACTTTAGATCATCGCTCAGTTCTTAACACTTTAAAACATTAGCACATACTTTGAACAATTCCATTCTGATTCAACTTGGCACGTAATCCACAGAACTAGTTGTTAACCTTGCCACCTTTCGGTACATGCCACATTGCACGAAAATATAGCACAGGAGACTGGCAGCCAGTCTGCTTCGACTGCCATTACACAACATGTAATTTTACGTTGGTACGTACCTTCTTGGCTACCCATTGTTGCACCTTGCTTGGGAGTCTGCTGAAGTCTCCCTTTGCAATGGGAACGTGGCCCAAATGAGGGACAACAATCTCATGGACTTCGTAGAAACCCTTCTTATAGACATCGGTGTCAACCTGGTGGGGGTGCGACTTAGCAGCCATGATAGTCAACTGCAAAATAGAGTCAGGCGTGAACTCACACTCGCTGATTCACCAAAATACATCACCGGCGCTGTTATGTATGCTTGCAGCCAGTCACTGAGGCTGAAGCCTGAAGGGGTCATTGTCGTATAGGGTACCTACCCGAGGTACATATATGTCACCTACGCCTACTACCTAACCCTAACCCTATCACTGTATCAGATAGTTACCTCGGGTACTATACGACAACGATTTTTCGTGCGTCACTGAGAGTCAAGTGACAGAGCTGCAAACGTTCTGTCATATATTATATACACACGCGCCAGACACACAGCAAGTTATGACTCATGAGATGACACAGTCAGTACAAAAATAATACATATTTTAGTTTGTAAATGTAGACTGAATTGGTCACCGGATTGAACAAATTAGGCCTACAAAGGCTACATATCTGCGGCACGGCCCAGACGCCACTGGCACTCGACTTGTCGTAATGACAAATAGATCGCCTAAAACAAATATCAGTCGGTTATTGTATTGATATATAGTTACAATGGTGACTTAGTGCTATACTATTTCACATAAAGTGGCAATTCACTTAAGGAGGACGAACACATCTTACCGGAAAGAGACGATGAGCTGATCTGCGACAAAGACGGTAAACGCGTGGTACAAATGGCGCAGTTCGCAACCGGTTCCCGCCAGACGGCGCCAAAACAAGGTCAAAAGAGTCGATCGATGACGTATACTATTGAGGTGCCGAAGGGTGGTAGGAATCAAGAGGAGCGTAAATGCAACACACACACGGTATTTTCTTGGATATAACCACCGCAATACTTAACCCTCAGTCGCCGATGTGTCATAAAATGGTTACAGCATTATATAAAACTTAATACAATCATATAACATATTAAAAAAATCTCACTAAAAAGTAATCGCCTCTCCCGCCTCTTGCAGCCGCGAATACAAATAATGGAGCCGTCGGTGGGCGTGGCGTGAACGTGCGATCGCTACCCCCCCCCCCCCTATTCGTAAACGTCTGCCAGTTCTGACGTCAATGGCATTAAACGTGTGGCATTAAATTATGGTGTTGTACAGTGGCAGACGTCCATAGGCAGCAGGCATGAACCACTGTTTCGTCGCATAGAAAACATACACTTTATTTATGTTAAATAACTACAGATTCATGCTCTATGCTCAGCTTTAAACTTTTGACAGCTATATGATGCGAATTTCTACAAAGTAGTAGTAGGATCACATTTCAAACAAAAATGGCCAACCGGTCACCATGGCTACGCCACTTGACGGAATGTCCACAACTACACGACAAGACCTTTCTAGACGTCCACGAGGCATCTAACTTGTGTGCATAGAGCAAATTATTACACTAGTGCCGAATTTCGCCGAAAAAAATGCAAAAAAATGCCTTTTCTAGAGACCAAATAGTGAACAATTGGCGGTGTATGCCGTTTAATAATTAATGCAGTTAACAATATGCGGTATTATGCATACTGTTGGTGGCCAGAGATATGATATCCCACAATACAATCTATGTCCTATGTAAAATGTTAAATGTCAATGGACATGCATGGCCATGACCCGCTATGGAGGTGCATATGCCATGTACAGCAGGCTGCCGTACTGGTGTAAATGATGTTATATGTGTTGGCGTTATAAGCAGCATCTCGGGATACGCGTATTTTAAAGAAGTTTCTTCCTCTTCTTTTGGAATGAGTATATAGAGGCCCTAATCGACATGCATTCCGGTAGAGCTGGTATTATCGTAATCTACCGTGCTATATGCACTGAGCGCCCAACGCCAAGAGTCGAACTTATGGAGGCCGGCAAGAGTATGTGACTGAGAATGGCTCGAGCTAGTGTCAGTCTCCTTCCTCTACAAGCGTTCAGTCATCTATTGAGTGACGAGGTCGTGTGCTTTAGCCATAGAAATATATATACAGTTCCTACACATAGTCTTTCTAGTATGCTATTTCTACAGTCTCGCTGAGCTTGTACGAATTGCATAAAATTAATGTATGGAATGAAGCTCTGACAGAGTGAGTTATTCGTGAGTACGGGTAGAAGGCTCTGCATAAACACGTACTACAAGATACTCCCAGCGTTGGCATAAACAACATTACATGAAATAATTTGCATATAGGAACACTTCCTTTGCCACCCATCCACTTTCTTCCAGTGACACACCGTCAAAATATTCTGGCATAACGTTGACGCACTCTAGCTGTCTCTAGCGACATATATGCGTTACTCAATAATAGCGCAATAAGTCGCTATAACTATAATCTCTATGCGTACATACAATATTGAAATTTGTAACCTAACAGTGTAGGACAAGAGTAACCTACTCTGTTGGGTGCCATTATTGTAGCTACTCTACATGGTAGATAGATTGACGTAGTAAGATTGACGAACCTTCCTAGCCAAACGAGTTGTTTTTGCCGGGGGACAAACAAAGGTGTGGCATGGATCCCTGACTGCAGAGGTACAGGTATAGAGTGTGTGAATTGTACCGTACTCTATTACGCTATATTGGAAATTATGTAATCATTAAATCAACAATAATATTAAATCCTAATCGACGATTAAGGCTTGTTGTTTGAATTGGTCCCACACGTATTTGCACAGTAGCTCGATCGGAAAAAAGGCCGAATACTAACGTTTTACACTGGCAAAAAGTGTAGCGTTTGTGAATGTAACAGCGATACAACTCAGGATACATACCTATCTATATATAATAACAAAAATCTATATATAATAACCATGGCAGTTTGTAAACATCTTAACCTAAATGAAGAACCATACGGAACAGGTGTTTTCGAAACATCTGTTTTTATACAACACCAAAACGCACAGGTCTGTGCGTACGATCTGCTGCACGCGTACGTTGCTGGTAGGCATGGGCGCAACCATTGGGGGGGGGGTCCCCCCCCCCCCGACTTTTTATATGACCTCCCAACTTCTGAAGACCTTTATTTCTGGGAGGTCAAAATAGTCCTATAAGCGTTTATTATCGTAAAACATCCATATTTCACGGTGAAAGTTAAAATAAAAAAAACCCCAGGTGGTCAAGTTGCAGTGTGATAACTGTGATTCAGATCAGATATCTAAATAGAACCCTTGTTAATATCATTTAGATTCGACCTACATATAACATTCAATCTCACGTGCATGAAACGAAGCACGACATTCACGCACGCGTTCGCAAGCCAACCGTGTCTATATAGCTACGCTGCGTTGTGTTATAGACACTAAAAAAAGCCTATCTCCACACAGAGCGGCGCGTCGCGGCGCGAGCAGCGTTCACACCGCTACGCGGCAAAGTTAAAACTTATTATATTCTTCATCAAGGGATCCCCAATAAACCAAAAAACACCTTGTTTTTGAAAATCGATATTGAAGCAATTGCAAGGATTTTGTTGGAAAGTGTGAAGCCTCAAAGATGAATCACATTTTGTTTCTAACTACTGTTCTGCTGTTTCACATTGTCAGACATTTTTGCATTATTATTTTTATCATTAATTATTTTCCTCTCATCTTAATCATGCTAACATGTGTCACACACGTTAGCAGCAGTCTGTGTGTAGCTTTAACTACTAGCCTTAATCGTAATTAATAAAAGCGATTTCTGATATTTTATGTATACATGATCTATTCTTCAATGACATGCACAATTATGCAACAACTTCGCATCAAACACGCTGAAATACGTAATATCATTTGAACCATATACGTTGATATTCGCTGGCCGCAGATCACGTTGCTAATTGGCTGCTTGGACCCCCCAACTTTCAACACGTGTTGCGCTTGTTGGTAAGCCATAGTATATGGCATCGATTGTTTGTACTATATTTACCCCCGTAGTAGTTGTAACACTGGTTTTTACTC